GACAGCACAGTAGCCTAGGACCAAGCACAAGTAGCTAGACAAGCACAGTAGCTAGACAGCACACGTAGCAGACAGCACAGTGCAGACAGCACAGTGCAGACAGCACGGTGCAGACAGCACGGTGCAGACAGCACGGTGCAGACAGCACGGTGCAGACAGCACGGTGCAGACAGCACGGTGCAGACAGCACAGTGCAGACAGCACAGTGCAGACAGCACAGTGCAGACAGCACAGTGCAGACAGCACAGTGCAGACAGCACAGTGCAGACAGCACAGTGCAGACAGCACAGTGCAGACAGTACAGTGCAGACAGCACACGACTGTCCACTACACACAGTGCACAGTTGTACACAACAGTCAGCAGTTAGCAGTTCTGTACTCACTGTAGTGATCAGTTGTCTGTAGTACTACACTCTCTCTTTCTGCTGCAGACAGCAATTGCCAATTCTGCACTCTGCAGCAGACACTCTCCCCCGAGTCCCCAGTGACTCCACTCTCCTGAGAGTAAACAGAAAGTCAGAGACAGTACATCAGTCATCATAGTGACAAGCAGTGACACACTAACAAGTGACAACCAACAAGCAGTGACACACTAACAAGTGACAACCAACAAGCAGTGGACACACTAACAAGTGACAACCAACAAGCAGTGACACACTAACAAGTGACAACCAACAAGCAGTGACAAGTGACAACTGACCTTAGACATGTAGTGAATCGAATTAGTGGCAGTTTTGTAAAAAGATATTTTTTCTGTTTGAAAAAAAATAATTCAAAATATACGAGTTTTAAATAAAAAACAAACAAAAAAACAAACGCAGACTCTATTGACTCTATTGACTCTATTGACTCTCTTCATGCCATGAAGGGCGAATGGCGAGAGACCGAGAGTTGGCAACTAAATGTATTTTTTAGTCTTACACGACAAGCCGTGTTATAAAAACAATAAAAATAAATGATGGATCATATGTTTGTGTCGGCAGCCGGCGGGGCGGGCGGAGGATCCGGGGAGCCGGGGACCTGGGGTCAAGTGTAATTTATAAAAAGAAATAAAAAAAGAGATAATAGTTAAATATCCATCTCCAGTTCTCTATATTTATAATTCTTTATGTATATATATAGTGGATAATTTTAAACAGATATCAAACACGAAGTACACAGTCTTGATAATATATCAAATCACATTATTTACAAGGATGAGACTTTCATGTGCATTTGCTTCGGCACTTGCGATGGGCGCCTTGCCACTGGGATACTCGCAGACTATTGTTCAGGACACGACTCCTTCAGCAACTCTCAATGAGACTACAGAACAAATAACCCAGAACACGACGGTCGTGGTCGCTCCCGCAGTTGATATAAGTACAGAAATGACTGCACCAAACACAACGGTTGCGCCTTCCGTCAATGCCACTCAACCAAATACGGTGTCGGCTCCTTCAATCGACACCAATGTCACTCAACCAAATACGGTGTCGGCTCCTTCAATCGACACCAATGTCACTCAACCAAATACGGTGTCGACTCCTTCAATTGACACGACCTCAGTACTATACATCAGCGAGGTACAGACCACAAATATGGACTGGGTTGAACTATTTAACGAGGGTAACACGAGTATAAACCTCGCTGGTTACACACTTGTTCACGATAGAGAGACAGATGAAGCATACACTTTTCGAGGAGATTGTGGAATCATTGAAGCGAATGCATATCTTATGCTTGTAAAAGACGAAGTCACGAATGCAGAATATGCGAATGGGGACTGTATGATACCTTATGGGATTAAATCCAGCGGCGAGCTTGCTCTTTACGATAGCAATAACACGCTGCTGGATGTTACTTCCTGGGCGAACGTAGCCTATGTTTCCGGACACAGCTGGGCTCGAAAGAGTGGTCGTGCAGAGATTGGCATGGCAGAGTGGGAGGCCACCAGTTCGAATACTTGGAGACGGCCCAATATTTTCACCAAGGAAATCACTATCCCCAATATTGTGGACTATTCTGGAGGACTGCATGACAGATCAGTAGCATACATTCAAGACCCACCACAAGGTTCTATGACGAATGTACATTTGAGGGTGTACACAAGTTCTGATAAGTGTGTGTGTGACAAGTACCCGGAAGCGCACAATAACGAACTTTGTACATGCACGTGGGACGATATAATAAACGACGACTCAGGTACAGATTTATGGGTACCAACCATGCCATGCTCAGTCTCTATAGATGTTGACGGAGTGAAAGAGTACGGCTATACCGCAAATGGCGAGCCAACATCGGAGGACAATTGTGTGGTACATCAGAGAGGGGGCTTTACGCGCAGTGCGAAACTTAAAAGTTATACTGTCAAAATCGACAAGACTTTTGTGCCGAGAGAATGGCGCGGTAACAAACGGTTGACGATGGTCAAACACCCTTGGACATTCAGTCGCACTGAGGTACCACTTTTTGCCCAGCAATTTCGGGACATGAATGACTTTCATTCTCTCAAAACTATAATCGCGAATGTGACAGTGACTTATGTCGATCCGGAAACTATGGAAGTGGTTGGGGAAGAGAATATGGGTGGTTACACTGTATTCGAGAATTCTGACGAAGACATGCTTGATCGTCATGGCCTAAGCTCGCAGACCATAACCGGAGATCGAAAGGAAAGTCACCTCTACAAGTTGCGCGATTTCGATTGGTCGTACAAGTCCATCTTCGATGAGATTGTACCCTTCGCAGATGAAACCAACGAGGAACAGATTTTCGAATATGAATCTCTTATTGAAAATAAGGACAGCGATGACAACACAAAGTTGGTGCAAACTATTTACGAATTGAACGGTAAAATACCGAACATGACTTTCGTAGAAGCTGTACAGAAACGTTTTGATATGAATAACTTGGCGCAGTGGATGGCGGTCAATCTCATCTGCGGTGATATAGGTATGTATTGATATTTCCGTGCACGTAGGTATTCCCGAATTTCCATAGGTATTCATAACATTTCTAGCTGATGTTGATCGTAATCGATTTTGATGTTATACAACTAATGGTTCTGTTGGTTCACGTAATTATATAATACTTCTCCAACTTCTCCATTGTAGGACATATGTACAGATAAATGTAGAGGTTATATATGTATATGTATATATATATATATATATATATATATAAATCGTTCAATTGATACTCAATACACTATTGATCTATATTACAGATCACATGGGAAAGAACGCATTCATCTACAGCAGTAACGACACGGAGACATGGTACTATACTCCATGGGATTATGATGCCTGTTTTAAGCCTGTCATGGACCATGGACCTCCTAGTCTGAGTCCTTACAGGTAAGAACAACTTAAGTAGAATTTTGTGCCGTTGTCGTATGCAAGCTCATATGTTGTGCAAGTTTTAAGATTTCTCCCGTTTCAAATCTCCTATAGAACGTTATATGCGTTGCATAAAGACATGAAAAAATCAGACATTGTATGTTAGTTTGAACACTGCAAACCATAATACTGAAATGAGACTTCCAAGTACTTACGACCAATGGTCACATGATCTGGCATTGGACTGCGTAAAGTATAAAACTGAAAATACTAAATCGGTGCGATACTCTTTCGTTTGCAGATACCAAGACGATCACCTGTTCCAAGGCATTATGCACTATCCCGAGCTTCGCGATGTTTTCTATCCCTTGCTTAAAAAGAAGATTGAGTATGTGCGCACGGAAACGGGATTCAACAGAGACGCACTATGGGATGCTGCATTCGAATTTGCGAACTGGACAGATCCCTTCTGCGTAAAAGGCCAGGTAGACCGTGATACTTTGGGCACGAATACTTGGAACGAAGGCTCAGAGCTGGATCTTACATTTGATCCAGAATTCACCGATTGGGACATGTCACCGAGAGACCTACTGTTCAGTCAACACGACTTTATCCAAGATAATTTGGACATATATGTTGGTCTCGACTACCCTCCCAATTTGTACAATGACATCAGCATCCGGGCAAGTAGCACCGACGAAGATGACAAGGAAGAAGTGTTCGATGTAAAAGCACTGCCTTTCACATCGCCCATTGGCAATCCTCTAGAGATCACATGGCAAGTATACACAGGCAGACCCGAGAGTCTCGAGGACGAGGTCGCTGATGGTAACATTGGGCTGTTTGACTCGAGATATTTCGACCCCGAAATACAGGATGTTGAGATTGTGTACGAAAAGACTGTGAACAACGAGGAGGAACGGAATTACACCGATCTTTCCCATACTTTGTTGCACGGGATTACTATCCCATGCGACGAAGTACGTGAGTGCGAGGGTGAACAGTGCTGGATCACTGTGTATACCACAGACACAGTAACGGGGATTCGCTCCGCCGCGGCGCATACAGACAGTCAAACAGAGCTGGACTACGATGACTTCTGCTAACCGAGGAGGATAGCATAGACTTCAGGCACAACTAGATTGAGAGGATTTGTGCTTAATTAAGATAGTCACACAGACTAGATGACGAAGACTCTTACTAACCAAGGAGGACCACTTAGACAGTCAACAAAACTAGACTACGATGACGTTCACTAATAACGGAGGATCATCAAGGCAAAAAAAAGTCTGGTGCAACTGAATATCGATGGCTTCTGCTAACCAAGGAGTGACTACAGAGGTTGTCATAGTATCACTCGACCCTACCATCATTGTATATATTATCAGCGTATGAGCGCATACACACCTAAAGTTAGTAATCAATAAAAGTATAAAGATGAGCTAAAATATACAAATGTATCTATTTCTCCGTGAAGAGTTAGATTAGTACTGGGATGAAGGGATTTAGAGATCTGGTTTATACTGTTGGACACCGCCGTCATTCACACAGAACACGAAGCGATACACACAGTCAATGCTGATTATGCACCAAATTTACACCAGGCTGAACAACGAGCACGCGTCCTTACTTTCTCCTGGGCAATACAACTTCAATTTGAATGAACGCTTGATCGCTTTTATTGATAAGTTATTTTAGATGGTTCCTTATTTGCTCGACTCCAGCGTATTCACAAGCCTATAGGTTGGAAAGGAGAACGAGAGAAGCGAGATTGTCGATATTGCGCATTGCGACTAGTGATCTTTTGGATGTAGCATGGAAGTCAACCGAGAGTGTGAGGGTACGAAGTTTCTTCGTATAATATTTCGACACTCAAATGTGACGAGATGTACGGGTGATAACGGGATAAGAGAAGGAGAGAGGTATTGTCTAAGGGATATAAAATATCGAAGGAACTCCAATCCTAGCGTGTTTAAAACGCAAAATGGACAATAGACAAACATTTACCAAGCCAATCCAAATAAGCAGCCAGGACTAGAACTCAAACCATACTAGCCGAAACAGTATGTTACAGACATGACAAGCCCTACTACAGCAAAGAATAAGCTATAGACAAACATTAATCGTGCCAATGCAAACAATCAGACAGAACTGATACACAAACCATACCACTCAAAACAGTATGCTAGAGATATGCCAAGCTCTTAATTACAGCAAAGCTACAGACATAAATATGAACCATGCCAATCTAAACAATCAGCCAGTACTATAACACAACCATATCAGCAAAAACAATATCTTAGAGAGACATGTCAATCTAAACAATCAGCCAGAACTATAACACAACCATATCAGTCAAAACAATATCTTAGAGAGACATGCCAAGCTCTTCACTACAGCAAAGAACAAGCTAGCTATGAACATAAGCCATACCAATCCATAGCTTCCTCTATGCCTGCACCCGTTTTGGCGGAGGTCTTGAATATGGACCATGTGCGTTTTTTGAGATTTCCCAACCCCAGTGATTCACTCACTTCACTGGCGGACATAGATCCGTCAATGTCCTGCCAAAACATTCGTACACGAACATATACAGGAAGGCAGTCAGTATAAATTTAAGGGCGCACGAGTGTGCAGACCAAAAAAAACCTAGATGCGTGTATTGTATTGGGATGAACCACTCCGTTTGTACAAAGAAACGTAGCTGCGCTATGTATGGTAGAGCATGCTGAGCCCAAGCCGAGTCAAACAGTAGGGGCCACATATGGCAACTTTGTGAATTTGTATCTTTTACCTACTCGTTTTTGTCATTGTGAAATTGCATTGCTTATTTACTATTATCGTATTATCATCCAAAGATATATACAAGAAAAAAATTGAGCTCGTGTATGCGTTGAGTATATGGGTAGATCTACAACCTACCCACATACGAGCCTATCCTGAGAAGATTGGCATTAAACCCTAAACCCCAAACCGTTGAAGTATACTGGTGGTTTGTAGTGAGCTACGCCTTCTCTAGCAAACGCGTACGCGCCCAGACACACACCTGTTTGTTCGCGAACACGAGAAGTGTAGACGATCGAAGCTCCTCTTCTTCCAGCATTGACAACAACTCTTGCTTAGAAATGCTCATACGGTCCCTATCCGCGCTATCTACTACATATATAATGGCGTCGGTATTCGCATAGTAACACCTCCAGTATGGCCGGATACTCGTTTGACCTGTACAGGAGCAATATCATAGTATAGACTAGGGATTACAAGGGGGTTCCTTGTGCAGGAACAATGATCATAATATATACTAGGGATTACAAGGGTGTTCCTTGTGCAAGACCAATGATTTTATTACAAGGGGGTTCCTTGTGCAGGAACAATGATCATAATATATACTGGGAATTACAAGGGGTTCCTTGTGCAAGACCAATGATCATAATATATACTAGGGATTACAAGGGGGTTCCTTGTGCATCAATTTCCAGTGCGTGGCCAGTGGGGAACTATTAAAGCTGTGAGAAGAGCAGTTCAGGATAAGAAAGAACTATGCACGTGCATGCACACACTCACCTATATTAGCATATCCCAAGGCATCCTACCCCATTTATAAGGATGATTAAATACACACAGAGCATAACTGGTTCGTCTTTGGCCTTCCAGTTCACGCATAGTTCATAGTACCGAGTGGGCATTTGGCCAGATACGGTACCACCACTCACCCGCAGAACTGGGACACTTAAAATGACCCTAACCATTGCATGAACATATATCGACGCTGAACCCATAGAGGGAGGACCAGTATCACATCTCTTTGCACACGCTAGTTCTGCCATTTGAGTGCAAACAGTACACTTTGCCCATGTCCAATAAGACTGCTCCATACCTCCCAGGTCCCACACTTGGAACTTAAGATTTTTGTATGTGACGGTTTCGACATTAAATCCGATTGCTGCATGGCAAAGGAGCGGAAGAGAGACGGAAGTGAGAAAACAAAAGTAGTCTGTGAAAAAATCTATGTTTCTTTATGTTTTCTTTAGGCGTATAATTCAAACCCCCTTACCTGTCTGCCCGATACATCATGTCACTCAACTATGCAGTGATTCGTTGTGATTACTATGCAGCTCTGGCTTAGCAATACACAAGGGAGAACCCCCTATAGATCAGCTTAAGAATGCATGCCACACACACAAAAATACATTTACTCTACGCCGAGCTCTATAGAGCACAAGTGCCAAGTCCATTAAAAATTGGGCAACGACGTACGGAGTCCGAAGTAGTATTGAGCAAATTGAGCGACTTTTTAAGGCCTTGTATTTAAAACAAGACTCAGTAACTACTATACCTAAATTATAATGAAGTTAATAAACTAAACCTAAATGATGGGGGGGGGGGAAAGCGGTACCGCAGAAGACAAGACGAATGGACTCGATCGGAGGCATTCTCCACGGCCATATACCCTCTCGCTTGTCAATAGATGTATCTCATCTGCGACTATACATATACACACACACATACAATGCCACAGACTGAGGTGGACACATAGACGATAGTAACGAGCACCTCAGGACAGTACCGATACTTAGTACTGATACTTAGTACTGATACTTAGCACTGATACATAATACTGATACTTAGTACTGATACTTAGTACCGATACTTAGTACTGATACTGATGCCGATACTTAGTACTGATACTTAGTACCGATACTTAGTACTGATACTTAGCACCGATACTTAGTACTGATACTTAGTACTGATACTTAGTACCGATACTTAGTACTGATACTTAGTACTGATACTGATACTTGCCAGGTAGTGCATTTTGTTTGAACGAACACCAATTGTGGTACGATTGCACACATACGCACATCATCGGCCAGGCATGTGCCAGGCGTGCATATCAGGATAACCGTTCATGGTACAAGTACGTAGATACCTACTGACAAGGTGGCCTATCATTCGAGAGATGTATCACTAGACAAGCTATACTGAGTGGTTTATATATATATCCATGTACTAAGCTATACAGAGTGGTTTATATATATCCATGTACTAAGCTATACTGAGTGGTTAATATATATATCCATGTACTAAGCTATACTGTGTGGTTTATATATATATCCATGTACTACTTACTAGGGATGGTGGTTACTACCTCGCCCACCTGTAAGCGGTAAAGGATGGTTGTTTTACCCGCGCCGTCTAAGCCCAGAATAAGAACACGCACTTCATTCTCGCCAAACAACCGGCCGAACAGCGACGAAAAGTATCCCCCTGTATGTCAAGAGTCGTGCGCTAAATTGTTATCGTTCGAAGCGTGGCATAAAGGCTACCACATCAAATATATATGTGCATATGTATAACTATATAACGATATAACGATATAACAATAAAACTATACTTATATATATATATACATATATACACAAACACACACACATATATATATTCACATCCATATCCATATATATCTATATCAAAATATTGAAGTCTATATATGGATATATATACATTATATATATATATATATATATATATATTTATACATATATGTACATACATACAAACATGTACATATACAAATACAAAGACAGAGGCAGACCGACACACACACACACACATATATATATATACATATATACATCTATATATATATAAATATGGATACATATACATGTAAATGAAAACATGTGCAAACTGATGCAGGATACAAATCAGAAATATCATATATATATACATACATACACACACATATATGTATTAGACATACATGTACATACATAAACACAGGCACAGACGAATGTAAAATTATACATGCGAGTATGTGAGTGTATGTGAATGTATAGGTATAGTCGTAAGTATATGTCTAGGTATATATATATACTTGCACATACATACATACACATACATATATGTACGTATATTTATATATATTTTTATACCTATTTCCATCCAGAGATATATGTACACCCAGACTAGCAAAATAATAAATGAATGAAAGTATTCGTACACGCGCACACATACTCCCACTCCCCATCAAACACAAACAAATAGATATATTCATATATATATATATATATATATTTTTCATATATATATATATATATATATATATATATATATACATATATATATACACATATATACACAC